TTGCACTCCCTGGAAAATACCCCCGCCGCAGCAAACCTGCAGACTAAGTGAATTTACATTTGTCTGAATTGATTTTCAATTAAACCCAGACAGCACACTTTCTCCTCAGAACATCCCACGGATATTGTGACAGGATATCCAAGATATCCCATAGTAGTCCTATGGTCAACCTGGGATATCCCAGGACAGGGGCGGACTGGCCCGCCGGCCCACCGGCCGGTGGGCCGATACGCATTTGCGCCCTCGTTAAAGGAAAAATTCATAAAAATTTTTAAAAAATGAGACGAGATGTGTTTTTAGAAAGCAAGAGGAAAAACTTAGAGAAAAAAGTTTCAGCAGTACAGTAAATAGCAAACATAAAGTCGGGTGTGAGACCTGAATAGACACTGTCGACAAGCGAGAGCAAAGCAGCTCTTCTCTGTCGTACGTGTAGGCCTACTAAGGCACTTTACTCAGTGGTATGAGCATGAACTACTTAAAAACAGCTGTCCTCTTCCCGCGTCATTTTACGCCGAACCCGAAAAAACTGCACTGCGACCACGAGTACTAGAAAAATACCAGTATGGTTCATAAACATAACCAAAAGACTTTTTGGCCAGAAAATAAACATTTAAACATTATTTAACATTGCTTAAAGTGGAACTGCCAAATCATATGTTCAATGCTATTAGTATAGGATTCGGGCCAACAATGTCATTTGATAATGTTTGTGATCCATACCGGTATTTTTCTAGTACCGGTATTCGTGACTGCGACTGCATCCGACATCGGTCGGTGTCACGATGTCGTCTGTGGTAAAGAACTTGAAGATAATGTAATATTATTTGATATTTGTTATAATATTAAATTATTGCTCACACTATAAATATTTCTATTTAAGTCACATTTAATTTTTATAAATGTCAACTCAACTCTCTTGTAAAATGGCGTTTGCCGTGCATGTAATATATAAATAATAAAGAGTGTGAGCTGCCAATTAAAATGTGTCTCTCTTTCGTGAGTGTCTGATTTGTGTCTCTGTGTATACCCTGTGTATACTCTGTGTTACCTCTGATTATTTAGACAATGAACATTGAAATTTTATGGTCTGCTCCACTGACAATGTCAATGCATGTAAATGTCCATGATAATAAATTATTTGATTTGATTTGATTTGTGTCGAAATCTTCAATTTATTTTTATATTCTTTACCTATTCACAGGTAACATGAACGAATAAACTAGTTTTGTAGAATCACTACTTTTACAAAATTTAAATTATATTTAGTGACAGTGTTTTTGTTAACTTAACCATTACACAGTAAAGGTTAAACAGTAAACAGTATTTTAATATGTGGCTACCGCCTATTAATTAATGATTTCAATATGCACTATGGCACTAATTTGGTCAACTTTCTTATTTTACTTACAGATAGCCAGCCCAAAATACCTTCGTAGTTATCTCTAGGCTATGGCTTCCATTTCGTTTGTAGAAATAGGTTAGGTAGGCCTACTTTAGGGTCACAGTTTTGACTTAATTTAATGCTAAAACAGTTTCAGTCAATAAATTGGTTTTGTTCACAGTGAAGGCATATTGTTTGTGTAAAATAATTTCATAGAAATCTAAAATATATAACTTCTGCTATTTACAGTGCCAAAAATACAACAGTTGCAAGTTCAGGTTGTAAACAGGAAGCACATGATTTATATTGTATGCATGCAGCCAAGTCATGCAAGGGAAAATAGTGAAAATGCACAAATATAATACGAAAGAACCTATATAAGAAAATCATTTGTATTTTTATTTTTGTTAGGATATTTACCGTCAGAATAGCACCAAGTCGTGTGGGTAAATAGTCTAAATTTTGTAAACCAAACATTGACCAATAGTGTCAGTTATCAGATTTCTGCTTTTCCACTGTTAATGCCTCTAGATTGCCTAAAAATGCGAGTTTATTGGTATAATTTTTAAAAAATTTCCCGGGGGAGGACCCCCCTCGATACAGGGGGGTATTCCATACCCCCCGGTTGGCGCCTTCGGGCTGGTCAAGGTTTACGCCCTAATAGAGTACCCAGTCCGCCCCTGTCCCAGGATATCCGCAGGATTGCGTAATGTCCCCGCCCGGGATGTGAGCTTATCCGTGGGACATCCGAGGTCATCCCAGGGTAGTCCTCAGGACATTTTCAGGACATATGGGACTACTATGGGATGTCCCTGGGATAAAGTGTGGTCTGGGCCTGAACATAAAAAACACAAAATAATATAGATTTAGTATGAAAAGCTTAATTATCAGTTGATTAAATAGCATAATAAGCACCAATTTTGAAGAAAAAAACGAGAAAAAAGTTTTTGACCCAGACTGGTCTCGAACCTGGTACCTTCACCTTAAGAGCCTCACACCTTACCTCCTGAGCTATCTGCGCTTGATGGATCGATAGGGCCGCTAGGGGTTTCAAGTGGTCAAAGCGTAGCTGACAGTTGCAATGGACGCAATACTTAAAATATTTTTGATACTACAGTATATAATATGATTCTGTTAATCTGTTTAGGCCTCAAGTAGTTTAATTGTTTTTTCTGGTAGTTGGAGAGGATACTGGTATTTGAATATAGATTATTTAATTACCATTAGATTAGCACTGTTATAATTGATTGTTATATGATTAAAATTTGTTTTAGTTTATTTTATTAATTTAAAGTTAGAATTAAATACACGTTTCACACAACTATGATAGAACTCTAGTTTTCCTTAACTCAGTGCATGGTAGTAATATGTCAGTAAAGTAAAGTCAGCCCTTGCTAGCCACAGTACAAGACATATTTTCAATTTAGGAAACCTTAAACTTTTAAATCAAATTATAAAACCTCAACATCTTAATGCTTGGGAATCTTATTTTATAGAAAAAAACAGGCCAAAATTATTTGTTAAATAATGAAGACGGCCCAATTATAAACTCGGAATTACTGAAATTATTTTTACATCAATATTAACACTGTAATATATTCAAATTTCAAAAGATAAAATTTTCTAATATTATTTTTTATTTTTCCAATATCCTTTAAATCATCTGTTTTAACTTTGTTTAAAATTAATTTATTAAGTAAATATTTACTTTTTGTACTCTAAACACAGCCTGAAGATGGAAACCTAGTTTCTGAAAGCGCTAGTGAATAAAACAAATTATTATTATATATTGGCCTTGTTGAACATTTAAATTTAGATATACATTTCATCAGTGGTAGTATTTTTTTCAGTTTGTTACTGGGACATTAAGGGACATTACAGGATATCCAGTGGATTTTGTACATGTCCCGGGATGTCATGGGACATTCTGGGATATCCTATGGCATTCGTACATATCCCGGGACTTTACAGGATATCCTGAGGTTAACTTACAAATCCCGGGACATTACAGTATATTGTAGGATATCCTGTGGATTTCGTACTCGTCCCGGGATTTTGCGGGATATCCTGAGGCTAGCGTACATATCCCGAGACATTCTCAGGACATATGGGACTACTATGAGATGTCCCTGGGATAAAGTGTGCTGTCTGGGAATATATTTCAATAACATTAGGTTTAACAAGTACCTAGGTTTGCTGGTTTTTTAGTAAAATATTGATAGCTTTAGTATAAAATAAACAAATTTGCCAAGTTTGATTAAAATACATCCATAAACAAGAAAACTACAACATTTTACAATATTCTCCATAAGAATAACATGGGAATTTTAAATTTACATTTTTTTTTATTTTCTCCATTACCAATAACCGAACAAAAATACTTTTATATACTAAATTATTGTTTTTAAGCTCTTTAAAAGGTCTAAAGAGAAATTGGGAAATTTTGTGTTTTGAGGGTCAAAAGTGAGAAAAACCAATTTTTACCCCATAAAACCCCCCGTAAAGCCCCGTTCCCATGGTCTGCAATTTTGGCTAGGGGTGAGATATTCACCTCGGATTTGCGTCATTGTGTTTCTTTTGTCAAACCCTTCAAAATAAGGGGTCACTCAATAAGGGTTGCTATTTGAAAAAAAAGTCACCCCCTACCCCCTACCCTGTTAGGGGGATTAAAATATATTTTTGATGTAAAAAATTGTGGAACCTTTTTGTTAACAATTATTGCCACAAACCGAATATTTCTATCTATTTCGGTTTTAAAAACACAGATTTGATTCAATACTTAATTTACACACTGTATATTTGCCCCCCCCCCTCTGTTCCAAATCCTACGGGCAATGAATACACAAACTATAGTTTGTGTATTCATTGCTACGGGCGCCAAAACACACAAAACATTAAGATACAATTAATTGCTCGGTAATTGGTACAGATCCTGGAATACCCATTATGCTTCAATATACTAAATTATTTGTTTTTTTAAGCGCTACAAAATAGTTTAGAAAGAAATTGCAAAATTTGATGTTTTTTGGGTCAAAAATAGGAAAACCCCATCACCCTGGTTCGCGAACTCGTTCGAATAAACGTAGGTTTACACGTTTGTACCAAATTTCATCAAAATCGGATAATTTTTGCTCGAGTTGTCGCGCTAACGGACATATATATATATATATATATATATATATATGAATTTGAAGGGATGGTGTTTTTGGCCTCTAGGGACCTCAAAACGAAAAAGTAAATCGGTCCCGGGTCCAGGTCTTACCATGAGTACTACGGTTATAGCTTATTCCCTATATGGGAAATTCGTTAAAAACTAAAACCATATACAGTACAATTTTCCTGAAAAGAATATCTTACATCTGAGTAGAAATAATTTGGTAGGTGTTAAGGTTTTAGTAATGGTAACTTAATTCGCCCTTCTTTTTTACCACGCTTCATCATCCCACCCTCATTCAATTTCAATTACAGTATTTTGGGGGAGAGTGTGGGTTTTAGGTCACAGGTCAGCTGTAGGGAATTTAGCCGATGAAGGAACTGAAACGTCACGTCGACGTCAGTTGTTATTGATTTGCTTGCTTGCGCTGTTCTGTCGTCTGCTCCCAGTGAATTCTGTAGGCCTATATTGTGGATAGAACTGCTTTTCTCACAACAACAGCTTAAAATAATTAAATAGTTTATATTAAAATTCTTTGCATTTTATCCAGTGTAAGTGACTAGTGAAGGTATATTATTGTTTGGTAATATAGGATAGGACAAAGTGCCTCAACAACTGACATAACCCCACCAACCAAAGTCAACATCCCAAATTTAGTACAGTAATTTTATCTAGCTAACTTATGTTCTTTTGAGTGATTTGAAGAACAAAAAATACATAATATCGCGTCATTCATATAGGTAAGACAAATCGTAATCATTATTTATCAACGTATTTGGAAAATATAATTATTCTACTTGTGTGTGTGGGCGGTTCCCTTATATTTGGGTTAGTGATGCCAGGGGTAGGTTATTGATTTGCCAAAAGTAGAGCAGGAAGAGGGGTTATAGCTTAACCCTGTTCTAGCTCAACTATTTTGCCCTACATTTCGGTCTCTTTTAAACTAGTTCACATATATGGGTTACTTCCCATTCTTGTGGCAGATTTCATTTGGTAAGGATACTTTTCCTAGCTTGTGTTTCACTTTGATGCAACTGAACAACAGCTCAAATTAACACTAACAGTTGTTAGTAATTAATACTAATTTAAATTATTTTATTAAACAAACTATTATTTTAGGAAATTCAGATATCTCACAGTTAGATGGACTCAAAATCTATTTTTATTGAGCTGGGATTCCAATTTTTTTGTGTAAAAATTAACTTAACTGTCAATTTCTAATTTTACAGTCCTCTACGGTAGGCTTCTCTTTTTTTTTTTGTAAAATGTATATTATAATTTATATTAAATAAAAAAATCTAAGGACATATAGTGTAAGAACTATGGATGTACACAGAGGATACACATCCGGTAACCAGACGTGGATTAGGCGTCCGGTAACGACGTCACCGGGTTGTGGGGTCCCGGAACGCCATTACCACAACGATACGATGTTCGGCCAGCGTTGTTCGTGGTGTAGTGGATAGAGTGCTCGGCTGATATCCAAGAGGTCCCTGGTTCGAAACCCATCGGTTTCTTTAACTTTTTGTCACAGATTTTGCTTTGAATGTAATTTCTTCTTAACTGTACATCTTTTGTTAGAATTTTTGGCATTTATAATTTTATGGTATGAAGAGAATTGAACCTTCATTTGATTTTTTTCATTATCAGCTTTAAGTTTGGTTGGTTAGGTTAGGTTATGACAGTAACTGCCGGACGCCTAATCCACGTCCTGTTACCGGACGCGTATCCTCTGCGATGTATGTAATTGAATCTCTACCACTGCTTTCCATTGTTAACTTAAATATCATAGCTATAGGTACAGACGTATCTCCATCTAAAATAAGGTAATTAAATAGAGATAGCCTAATATTGTAAGCTACTTGATCTCACAGGTCGCCTTCAAAAGTAACTCTGACTGCATAGAACAATACAGCACTATGGAAAAACCTGAAATAAGTGAAATTGTGCCTTTCAAAGTCGTTGATTGCACCCGAGAGAAACGGTTTGGCGTAGTGGCAACGTCTCTGCAGGACTTTGTAATCAGGGGTAAGTTCAGCAAAACAGTTAAGTTAACTTAATTTACTTAACAAGTTCACTACTGCAATAGACCTAGTACATTTTGTGGTACTTATGTATTAAACGGAGGCCACATTTTGTCAGCGCGCTGCGGCGGTTATGTTAGGTTGGGTTATCATAATAGAAAGTATAACTCGTCTGGTATCGTTCGATTCATAACGAAGCGAGGAAAGTCCTACACACATAATATTTACGATAACCCAACCTAACATAACCGCCGCAGCGCGCTGACAAAATGTCGCCTCCGTTAATACGTAAGTACCCATTTTGTATTAGACCAGCAACACGGATGCCACGGCCGGTTTCTATCCTTAGACTGCTGTCTTATGCGACAGCTGGTTGTATGAAAATAGACTGATGTCGCATATTTGTGTCGGTGTCCCAATGCTAATAAAAAGTTTATATCTTCATAACGGTCTATTTGAAGGCACTGAATTCTCTTCAGTGGTCCACAGAGATGTCCTTGGTTTGTGGATATATGATGATGAGTGACGTAATATAATAGTTGACAAAACTGTTTTTTACTTTGCTACATCACTGGCCCGTGGTCTGCATGTACTGTTAACCAAGGGACACCCCGTCTAGATGTGTAATATTAAAATGTGTACCTTGATCCGTGGCAATGTCCGCAGCGTCGCATATATGTAGCAATCGGAATCGAATGTGTTAGCCTAAGTTAAAGTTTTACAAATTTATAAATAGTTCTATTTTTTTGCCTTTGGGCACAGTCTGCGTGATTTCTTTTTTTAACATTCAATTATGGAAAAACTTAGTTTGAGTAATATAGTGTAGGGCCCAACTTAGTTCAATTTTACATAGTAATCACTTTAAAATGTGGTCTACAATCAAAACTGTTCACATGCATGGTTAACAACTACCAACTTAATACAACATCTATAGGATTATATTTTTTCAGCAAAAGAGAAACTGGGTCTGAACGGAGAAGCCGTGAAAGTAGTTCTTGAACAAGATGGAACCGAAGTAGATGAAGAAGATTACTTTTCAACGTTGGAGAGAAATACGAGTTTGATGCTTTTGGCTCCTAATGAAAAATGGGTGCCTCCGGGTCGCACACAGAGGTAGGGAATGTTTCACGTACTGAGAAATGTTATACTAGTATTTATTTTAATAAAATGATTGTTTTATTTAGTGGTAAAAATTATAACACAGTTAGGCCTATGTAAGAGATCAAATTAATCTTGTTGGTTGTTACAACTTCTTGTAGGGTAAATTTATTGTTCATTCATCCTTAGTCTATCACTGCTGATTTTAATAACATGAAATAAAGTTGGTTTTTAGAATTACTGACAAAGAAGTTCCAAAATCAGTTATGTTGACCTTGTCAGTAAAAATGTCAAGGTGTTGCAATAAAAAGGGTAGGCCTATTCGAATTACCATGCCATAGTTATCCTAATGCTGGAAATTTACATTTTTGTCTATAGGCCTACAGTACTGAACATTATAGTTAAACAGGCACCATGCTGCCTAGTAGCTTATACATTTAATGGTTCAAGTCATCAATTTGTATTTTAAGCATATAGTACCTAACCTGAAAAAAATATTAAAGCCTACCTTATCTTAAAATAGCCTAACTATGCTTAAAGCCTACCTAATCTCAAAATACCCCGCTTAAAACGAACCAACAACTCCCCCCACTTTTATCAGTTTTAGCATACCTAAACCTCAAATTACAATGATTAAAGCCAATCTAGCCTCAAAACTACCCTACTTAAAGCATGTTCCTTTTGCAGGAGTGCTGACGAGATAGATGGGGGCAGAGGTATCAGCGGTTTGTTGACTCGGCTGAGGGGAGACGTGGGCCACGTTTCTCTGCTGGGTGGCTGTGAGCTGGAACTCCTCTCTGACATGGACCCTGACAGCCTTGTAGACATCGTCCCAGACAGGTACTAATCTCAATTTGTAAATTCTGTACAGCTCGTGACATCTAAGCTGGCACTTGGCCTAGCGCGGGCAGTGTAGGCAGGAGGAGGGTGGAGGTATGGAAAAGACCGGACTGCAAACATTTCCGCTGCCTCATAGGGTTGACTCCCCGTGCATTATATACTTGAGCACCTTCACGTGAGTTGCGAGGGCAGTTGACGCAACCCACATGACAGGACAATGTTTTTTAATTAGAAGCTAGTAGGAATCGGCAAAGTGCCAGCTTAGATGTCACGAGCTGTAAGCTTGAAATCACTCAAAAGTTTACACCAGTTAGTCTTGTTTTTGTGTGTCTATGGGAATGTCGTTCATCGGATTGGACTTTTAATACCCACTAACATTGTCTTTTATTGCTGACATTATTCCTGTGGCGGAGCAGTTAACTAGTGTGATTGGTTTTGTAAGCACCCCAAAGCTCTTAGCTTTTATGAACAAATCTACTTTGAATATGAAGTAAGCCTACTAGACATCCCATTCTCACGTTAGGGTTTTAGCGAGTTGTAGAATGAAAATGAACGTTTCCTGTCAAATTGAGGCACCCACAGAGTGTCCTGTTGTTCATTTGAACTGATGATGATAAAAGTGTGGTGTTGCCTATAATGTTAGGTAACTCTATGATAGGTTATATTTGATAAAAGAAGTAGGCTACTATAGTTCATAAATAATTTTGTGGCCTCGTTTCCAATTTCCAATGTAATACAAGAAACAGATGATCCAAACAAAAGTTCTGGAGTAGCAGCTAAACTTTAAGAAGATTTTTTGGAAAGTTGTTACTTGTTTCTCTTTGGACATTTAGTGAAAAAAAACTTTGATTTCATTCAAGTACAGGGTGCGGCGTCAGCGTACTTACCGAAATTGCAGCTAAACTATACAGCTAGTATTAAACATAACTATAACAGTATTATTGCAAGTACTTGTTGGAGAAGCTGCTCCAAGTGACCACCTCAATTGTCTTTTACACATGTAGCACCTTTTCAACACTGATTTGCAAATACTTTTACATAGTTGTGGTGTGAATATAACATCAACATGTTCCATTATCAATTCTTTTAAGTGGTCTAGACTTTGAGGTTTCTCCGAAAACACGTTTTCTTTTAACAAACCCCACATACTAAAATCGCACAGAGTTAAGTCTGGAAACCTAGCTGGCCAATCAATAGTTCCTCTTCGTCCTATCCATTCTGTGAAGTTAGTATTTAAACACTGATATATAGATTGTAAATAGATCAAGCAATACACTCACCAACTTCACTTCACGGTTACAGGCGGAATACAGTACTGACTTAACAAAAAATCCTCAATAAAGAATGCAAAATAAAACATGACTTGATGTTGGATTAGAATGAGTGAAAGTAAGAGATAATAAAATAGCGCGAGAGATAAACAATGACGCTCACCGGTCTGCAGCGGTACCCTGACTTTTGCCGCACCCGGTATTTCAAAGAATTTACCTTTCATCAAAACTTAAGAAATTGAACAGTGATAGATTAATGATATACCTATGTAGGGTTTTGTATGAATTTTATGGGCCATTGCAATCAGAAATATTGGTTAAATTTAAATTATAAAAAAATACTTGAAAACAACAGATATTCCTGTAAAGTTGGTATAGGATAGGATGTGGGTTTGTTAATTCAATTTTTGGTTTAAATCTTAGTATAAGTACAATATTGTGCTCTCTTGTGTCCAAACAGTAAATTACAGTAGACTCTCAGTTATCTGGCAGATATAGGGCCGTGATACTGCCGGACTACAGAATGTTACTGGGCCAAGAAAGCTGGTGTAAATTCGCCATGATCGCACAGGATTATGTTTCCGTTACCGCAAGGGATATTCAGAATTTTGCCCTGAACACGGAACGATAACAATCCCGACATTGTTTACACGTCCGTGAAGACAATAACAATGTCTACACGGCCGAAGGAGATGATTAGAATTGCCGTGATTGCGGAAGACTATGATAATGTTTCTGTTACTGTGAAGCGCCTAAAAAAACTGTCACATTATATTTCAACTTGAATCCAATATCACACCCGTCAAAAAACACCGGATTACTGGAGTACCGGAGTGGTACAGTGCCCGCTTGTAGAGGGTCCACTGTATAGTAAATTGAGAGTTTACTTCTGGATTCTTTAGTTTACTACCTGTCGATTTGTAGTTAAGATTAGTTTGATTCTTGTTCTTTTTTATCATAGTTTTTTTTACTTAAATCAGAGTTTTCAAACAGTTTTACCAGGGATTTCTTCTCTGTAAATCAATCTTTTAAATTCAAAAAGTAAACTGTCACCTTGCTTGATGGTTTAAAATTCTCAGTTGGAAACAAAAAAATGTTGGATGCCTTTCTAAACAGTAGAAACCCTCAGCCCAATAACAACTTTCACGGGACAACTCCAAAAGTGAATGACTAAAACCGTTTGTAAGGTACGATAGTTTTGGGTCAACAAACACTGATACAAAATTTGATTGACCTAATTTGCAACTTGGATTTTACTTTACCAATTTAAAATTAACTTTGCCTAAAATTAAATTACTAAACAGGGAGAACGTTTAATCTTATTATTTCCTTTAATTTTTTACTATTTTTTGTTTTGTAAAACCCGTTGCACCGATTCCATATATTGCAAAAGTAAACATTCTAACAAATATTTTTAGTAAACAGTATTAGCAAACTGACACATACTTTCTCCCATTAGCTTGTCAACAACAATTGGGTAAGCGGTTGAGTAACAACAATAGATTAACAATGGTTTTTTAATGGGGAAAATCACTATATTCTTGAATCACAATTCTTACTGCATTTAATGATGTACCATTTTGTTTAGCGTTAAAAAAAAGGTACCATGATATTATACTAGCAGAGTACCCGTCCTTTGTACAGTAGACCCCCTTTTAACCGACCTCGTATTAACCGATAATCGGATTATCCGCCTTCGATCGTAAAATAATACAGTTTGTTTTAACCGACCTTGCTTTGAGAGCAGCTCGGTTTAACCGCCGCTTTCTAGGAATCTCGGCATTTCCGCTCCCACGCTGGGCGATGAGAACTGAACCATACGCTTATCTCCACAGGATATGACTAAGAATAAGTTATTTTGTGTTGATCACAAAAAATATAGCACAGCCTATTGACAGTTTGTCATCATCGTTCGTAGTTCGAGCGCATCTGATCTGTTTGTTATCTGTGCGGCAAATTTATAACATCATAAAGTGCCTTACGATTTTGAGAACTGATTATCTTATCACTGGAGTAAACAAACAACGCAACTTGTAGAGAGGGCAAGGAAGGGGGGTTAACAACTCCAAGGTCAAGATAGTATTTGTGCCTCGAGCCTCCAGTGAGAGGCTATAAATAAACATCCTGTCTTGTAACAAAATGGTTGCTTGTATCTTTAATTTCGACAAAAGGTTCTGTACTGTATTACGATGGATTTGGAAGGCATCAATAATTAATACATTACAGTACTAAAGTTATTTAAATAGGAATTTTCATTGATTATTGCCTATTATTATAATATATTCCACTGAAAGTTAGCCTATTTGACTCCACCGTGGTATGTGTTTATTTGTGACTCTTCTATCAATACGAAAAAGGAGATAAGAGTAGTTTTATTTTATAAATAATGCAAGCATGACTTCAAAATAATGATTATATAATTCCAAATGAATAGTGCTTCATTTTGTTATGATTTTAGGGATTGCTCGTTTTAAACGACCTTTTGAGTTATCCGACCTAGGTCCGGTCCCATTAGGGTCGGTTAAGAGGGGGTATACTGTATGGGGTTGGCTTTGAAATGCTTTTTGCAGCTATACTCATGCTTTGCATTTGCAATGGGAAAGGACGCGTTTTAAGAAAATTTGATTTACTAGCCTATAATTATTTACAGTATACTATAGCACATCTACCATAGCCATAATGTTCTACCTCTGCACCTAAACAATTGAAAAAAGTTAACTTCTCACAGATTGTTGTTGCTGCTTGGTTCAAACAATGAATACAAACCCTTTAAAATGCAAAATGCTATGGAGAATAGTCAGACTGTAATTTTACCGCCGAAATGAGCTTAGCATGGCCGCTGCTACGATCGCTCGCACGGCGGCCATGCTACTCTACCTCTCTCTCTTTCTAAGCAGATTCTTTGTCTCACTCTCTGTCATTCAGACAGCTGACTTGGCCGTGCGCTCGCGACAGTCTACCTAGCGACTGCCGCGGGAAGTATAGAAAATTCAAATATTTCTAGACTGAATTTTTTGCAAAGGCATTGCGCTTCTTAAAGGGTTTGTATTCATCTTGTATGTTGCCTTCCGGATTACTTCATGAATTGTATACAGGAGGTTACCTTGATTCTGTCCAAGTAATCCTTTTAAAAAAGTCGTCATTAGTGCGACCGGTTTCGATGTCTATGATGGCATCATTGTCAAGCTAGACTCATGACGACCTCTTAGGAGCGATTTTACGTCTAGCTTGACAATGATGCCATCATAGACATCGAAACCGGTCTCACTAATGACGACATAAAGGATTACTTGGACAGAATCAAGGTAACTTAACCGGTTTGTATTCATTGGTTCAAATAAGCTGTTGTCATAAATGCAAAAATAATTAATAGTGCTGCACCCTGGTGGTAATCCGTATAACCTTTTAGTGCTGTTGAATCTCATACAACCAACTTGTGTAGTTGAAACAGCTGGTAAAATGCTTTAATTATTTTTAAATATGAATACTCGAGGTTAACATGGAAAACTCTAGAGCCACTGGGGCGGAGCCCAAAGGATTTTCAAGATAAGAATATGTTTATATGTTAATCAGGAATGTGAGCTTTCATCATACCAAAATTCAACCTAATCCGACCAGTAGTTAATTTGTGATTGAACTGCAAACAAACAAACAAACATACATAGTATATAAACAAACATACATACATACAAACAAACAAACACACAAACGTTCCTTGTTTTAGCGAATTTCCCTATAGGAAAGTAGCTATTACCGTAGGTCTCATGGTAAGACTTAAGCCCGGGACCGATTTACTTTTTCATTTTGATGTCCCCAGAGTCCAAAAACACCATTCGTTCAAATTTTTATATATGTAAACCGAACAAAAATACTTTTATATACTAAATTAATTGTTTTTTTAAGCTCTTTAAAAAGGTCTAAAGAGAAATTGGGAAATTTTGTGTTTTGAGGGTCAAAAGTGAGAAAAACCAATTTTTACCCCATAAAACCCCCCGTAAAGCCCCGTTCCCATGGTCCGATCATGCTGGTTCGCGAACTCATTCAAGTTTATTCCGCTTTACACCTTTAAACCAAATTTCATCAAAATCGGACAAAAATTACTCAAGTTATCGCGTTCACGGACGTATATATATATATATATATATATATATATGTCTATATATATATATATATATATATATATATATATACGTCCGTGAACGCGATAACTTGAGTAATTTTTGTCCGATTTTGATGAAATTTGGTTTAAAGGTGTAAAGCGGAATAAACTTGAATGAGTTCGCGAACCAGCATGATCGGACCATGGGAACGGGGCTTTACGGGGGGTTTTATGGGGTAAAAATTGGTTTTTCTCACTTTTGACCCTCAAAACACAAAATTTCCCAATTTCTCTTTAGACCTTTTTAAAGAGCTTAAAAAAACAATTAATTTAGTATATAAAAGTATTTTTGTTCGGTTAATAGTAACGGAGAAAATTAAAAAAATTGTAAATTTAAAATTCCCATGTTATTCTTATGGAGAATATTGTCAAATGTTGTAGTTTGCTTGTTTATGGATATATTTTGTATTTTGATCAAATTTATTTATTTTGTACTAAGCTATCAATATTTTACAAAAACACACTTTATTAGTTTCCTTGTAGCAGCAAACCTAGGTACTCGTTAAACCTAATGTTATTAATATATTTAATTGAAAATCAATTAAGACAAATGGAAATTCGCTTAGTCGGCAGGTTTGCTGCGGCGGGGGTATTTTTGTAATTTTATGGCTTTTATAGTGAAATCACCATTTGTAATCAAAATAAAATAAAAAAAATGGGGAAAAAACACGTGAAAATACTATACTATAGTCAACTACAGTTTCATATTATAAGCTTTTTGGTTAATGAACCCAATTAAAACTGAATAGGTTACCATGGCGTATTGAAGTTACTTATGAATGCAGTCACAATTATTCAACCCTACAATATAATGGATTTCATTCAAGTCTCTTTTTATGGCTTTTATTTTTAGCTGGTCTATTGTGGTTATTTCCAATTTTTAAAGGGTTGTATTCATCCAACGATGAAAGTAATGATGTTTAAATAAGAATTTTTACTTTGGATCAGAAACTGAAATTACTCTCATTTTAAATATAATAATTTTTAACGTGTAAAGAGTTAGTTGTATTTATCCAATAAAAAATACAGTACAGTAGTACAGTTTAGTTGAAATTAAAAATTTATTTTTTGTCCAATAATGAATTAGTATCGGGGGATGGACCATGGCTCGGTTTAGTTTATTTAGATTGTAAAAGCAATATAAAGGGAAAACTTCAGCATAAGCATACTCTCTAAAATACTCTCGCATGATGGATTAGCTGAAGACAGATAAGTCAGATTCAAGCGTATATTGTTTACTATAAAGATTATTGTTAATACAATTGACTTTAAAATACTAATTCAACTGAAGACAGCTGTCCAAATTATGTAAGCTGTAGAGTGTGTAAAAGAGTGCATAAAAATTGTAAAATCTACCCTTGAATAAGAGTGAAACATTGATTTGACGCCAGTGCACTCTAAGGGCACCAACACTTAACACTCATCAACACTCGCTCTATTTTCCCCTATATAGAGTAATCTAATCTTCAGTGTAATATTTGCTCAATAGCTACAACTGATGTTTTTCCCTTGGTAATTTCCTAGTATACTGTGGATGGTTTTATAAACACGTGTTACAAGTCTTATTTTTAATTTTTCCTTGTTATTTTCTATTTTGTTCAACCAACATACTTATGTAACTCGGCAACAATTAGTATGTATTAGTTCAGGGGTACAATGTGATGGGCTATATGGATAAGTCTTGATGGTTTGAATTTGGCCGCATGAAAGACAATTAATTGAGATTTTCTACAACAAAATGTAATAAGTTTCCATAAATGTTATTAAAAAGTATGTTTTGAAAACCCAAACACAATTTTTGAATACTAGACGAGCACTATAACCACTCAGCTACATACATATATTTGTTACTGACAAATACCTGTTTTAGGCATATCAGTTTAAAATGTTAATGCTTTGAAAAAATGCCAGAGACGATTTAATACGGCACACAGTTGTATGGTTTCACAGAGCGTTTCTGGACCAGCTTAAGGAAGCGAGCAGCCGCGCGTTGAACGACAAGCGGCAGGCACAAGAAGCCCTCGACTTGCTCAAACTGTACCACAGCGCTTCGATCATCACGGCGGACGTGAACAAACGCAGCCGCGTCGCCCAGTAATCTCCCCCCACCACTGCCCTCCGCCTCGGGGACATGCAAGGCACGTATACGGTGATGATTAAATTGGTCATTAAATCTGTTGGTTTTCTTACAATTTAAAGGACATAGAACCGTGGAGATGGATTGAGATACTATAGGTTGGATGGAGAAGGCTCTCTTTTTAGCATTATGCTCGCATGATTTAATCGAAAAAGTAGTTAGTCTTTGTAATCGAGTAATTCAAAGTTCAGTTAAATGATCAAATTGTTCACAGAATGGGTATTTGATTAATTGGCAGATATTTACTAGTTTTTGTTTTACATTGGCTAAGATATTTTGCATGTAATGAACCAATGTGTGTAATAAACAATTAAGATAAATTTGATTTTTGTTAAATAGTACCAAATATGAGGCTGTATGATAACTAGTCAGGTCTGCTGAGAGGAAAACAATAAAGTGGGAGAATATTAGTTATTTAGAATCGACTCTGAGTTACTATAAATTACAGATTTTTAGTTGACAACCTCTCATTTCTTTTTAAACAATACAGTTCTTCTCCTACGGAATTTTATCAAGCAAAACTGTCTCTAGTATCCATCTGTCTCCATCTCAAAATCCTAACAAGACTCTAGAGTTTTGAATCTGTACTTGTATTAGAGTGAGTTGTAAAGTGAATTTGCAAAAGTATAATCAATTTTGTAGTAAAATCAACCACAAGGTTGTTGATAAGGTTCTACTGCATATATGTACATCTATAGTCAGTAATTTTGCCTAACTGATTGAGACTTTAAATCAATTGATTACAACTACCTTGTACTTTAAAACAGTGCAATAAATAATTTATTTTGGGTATTGTAAGTGTTAGTGGAAAACTCTGACTACAGCTATTATTGTGAATTCCATAATCATAACTAATACTAGTTCCTACAGTAGACTTCTTTTCGTTTGGATGTTTCTGGTTGGTACCCTTGGCCAAAGTTAATTAAGTTTCAAGTCTAAACACTGTGTGAAATATTGTTGGACTACATTGATACTGTTAATAATAAAGGAATGCAGCATTTATATATGTATGTACAGAAAAAAGGTTAGACAAATTGATTGTGACTTGTTTTTTTACATGGGCTAAGGACAAACTGGTGTCTGTGTGAATGTGTGAGTTATACCATTGACTACACACAGAATGTATAGTCTGTGTATAGTCAATGGTTATACCAAAGGACGGTCAGAACCAAACTCATCCCAATGAGACGGAGTCTGCTGTATGTATGTACATTCACTACTTTTGCAGACAAATATAGCAATACAAATCATAAAGAAAGTTTCTTAAAAACACTAACAAGGCAAGTAAAAAATAATTTCTATGATATATGTACAGTATTATGTATCACTGTGAGTCTCAAATCATTATCAGTATTAGAAGAGCATTTTTGTAATCTTGTGATGAAAATAAATAGATTGACATTAAGCAGAATATAACTAAAACTCATCATTCATGGGCTAATAAAATGCAACTTGTTATTTCAATGGATATACAAGCAAATGGAAGCGTACTAAACTTTTTAACAGTGTTTGAAAGCACAAAAATGAATGTTTAATGTTTACCTTGCATGCCCCTACATTTTGACTGTTGAACGTTGGGTGTTTTAGAAGTTATGAGGAATCGTTGCACTTTTGTGAATAGGATTTTCCAAGATTACAGATCTTCATGGGCCTAAAGGGTGTTGGATGTGATACGGTTTAACAAAATTTATTTATAGACTGATCGAACTGAAGACGATCTTTACTACATTATAGCTCGTGACACCTAAGCTGGCACTTGGGCCTAACACATGCAGTGTAGGTGGGGGAGGTTTGAGGTAAGGATAAGACTGGACTGCAAACATTTCCTCTGACTCATGGGGTGTACTTTCGTGTGTTTCATGTACTTGAGCGCCTTCACGAGGGTAGCGAGGACAGTTAACGCAACCCCCATGACGGCACATAATGTTTGTGAACTAGGCTAGTAGCGTCAGTCAAGTGCCAGCTTATGTGTCACGAGCTGCACACACTACACATATATCACAAAGCTAAAAACTGCCACACTTTGGGATTTGATTGTATCTTTTATTGACTTGTAAGTTTTTGGTAGTAACAAAATTTAAGGTATATGAGAAGTTGATTGAGTTAAAAAAATATTTTAAGAAAACAATGTGCCGTTTCATTGGACTAAAGTAGATTCATCAAAGTCACACCTTATTCGAATTAGGGTAAAGTTTTGTAAGAATTTCGTACGTTTTATACGAGAGGATTTTTTAATGGATATTGTGGAACTAGGTGTTAAGAATGTTGCGTCATTTTTCATCTCTAAAAATCTCATAACACTTGTCTTATTGAGCATCTTTAGCTCATCAACATTATACGCTGTCTATTGTATTTATAAGTTGTAGCACAAAGTCAAAATAAACAGGAAATGTAGGCTGCAATACCTTTAGCAATATAAATCTACAAAATGTTACCTTTCGCTCAAATGTTAAAGAAAATATTTAAAAATTCAAACTTGGTTGTATTTACTAACTCCAAAGGTCTATTAAACAATGCTCAAGGTGTAAACTAAGTTAAATTCTGTTAGATAAGGTCAGAGTCTAAAAGCTTTTTTACAATTTGTGAGACATCCAAAAGTACAGTAGTAAATTGTATTCTGTTACCATATCTCAAACTCTTGAAAAATAATTTGTATTTAGTTACTATAACTAGTTAACTGTTTTGTAAACGTAAAATACTGTTGGTACTATTAAATTTTGTTTTTAAATGTTCGAACCTAATGTTCTTTTGAAAAATATTTAATTTGTACTTTTTTTGAAACTATGTTTTAAGGCCTAAACTTACAAAACAACTAGATAACAATGAATCAAGTCTTTGATTTGAGCAATCACTAAAAACTATTTAAAAGCCATGTGACTGGTAAACTACATGATTCTATAAATATACACCTTTTCTCAATTACATGTTTTGTCACAAATTGTTGTACTAATAATAATAAGCATTAGCTATTAATAAGTTAGTACCTTTTTATCTAACAGTGTTCATTGAATCCAACACAATTATCATTGAAAAGATTATAATAAATCCATTCATGTAATTCTTACTGCTGAAAATTCGTTTTGAACTGCTCTCCTTATCAAGGAATCTTTGTGCATTTGGTTGAAAACAAAATACTTTGTAGCAATACGATTTTTACGGCTGAAAATAAAACTGAGTTTCATAGTTGAAGTAAATTGTTAATCCAATAAAACTTATCTCTTTTTTAAACTTATCTTTTTTCACAGAAAATTATGAATCATGATCATCAGTTTTGAATATTGTCTTGTCTATGAGCAGTGTTAGAAATATTGTAAAATATAAATGTGTGTTTGTGTGCATGATAAGCATGAATACCTTTAAATATTAGTTGGAAATTCAGCAGAAGTTAATTTACCAACACATTTTCATTTAAACTCCTTAATAGATGTTTAATGCTTTGGTTTTATAAAAGAAACCTCAATAATAATATGTTTTTTATAAATTAGGCTATGAAATTGATTATTATATTTTTGTTGAAATAATGCCTTCTTGTCTTTTTGGTCTAGAAGTTACAATCATAAATCAAAATATAAGTATATGAGTTTATTCCATTAATTAATTCAGTTTCAACATGAAATATTTTCTGGTGTTGATAAATTTAAAAGTGTAACTAACTTTTGCTGGATGAATAGCAAAATCATCAAACCTAGGTGAATAATACCTAGTTCCAGTATTAACTAACACCAATTTATTTGTGCACTTTATGCTTAGAAAAGCATGGTTGTTGATAAATTTCCTTGTAAAATAATCTATTTCCAAGGTATATTGATTTAAAATCAGGATTTGTTCAACCCCTAGACTAAACCAAAATTATAATTTTGCTCTGTTACGCCTTACTGGTAACTTTTGTTTCTTATTCACCTTCCAATACGTTTTTTAAGTTAATCAAATTTTGAACTAAACATTGTAGATGATAACAATTCCATTGGAGAAACAGTTTTACAAACAGTCAACAGGAAAAAATACAATATACATGCCATAAGGAGTACCCATAATCACCATTTTGAAGAGTGAATGGGAAACCATAGTTTGGTCTTTGACTAAAGATTTATTACTGTGAATTGGACATTCCATTCCTATGTTAAAGTTGAAGTCGGTTTATAGTTTATTAGAGCCACCAAACAATGTTTCTGCTGTAAACTACAGTTTCTATCCTACTCAAATGGGAACTTGTAAACTAAGGAATCTTGTCTATCAACAGCAACCATCATGGTATGAAAATGAACACAGAAATTTGACCTTTTTCTATGTGTGGTTCATTTAACTATATTTTCTTTGTCCTGGAAAAGTTGATCCATAAATGGAATGTCTCATTTCAGTATTACTGAACCCCTTTCCCTGTATTTCAAAGACGTTCATTTTCTCTATTAGAATGATCTTCATTTGATAGTTTTTACCATAACAAAAATTGAAACTTACAACCTAACCTAATTTCCTTCCCGTTATTTAATAATTTGCATTAAAATCTTCCTTCATTGTCCAACAATACTCCATTCAAAAGATCTTCATTAAATAGATGTGTAAAATAATAACTGTCTAAACTAATAATAAGTAGGAACATAAGTTAGTAAGTATCGTTAATTTGTACTTATCCACCTTATTTATTTACCTGGAATAGAAAATAATGTTAGAATTTTGAGTAGCTTAGACGTTGAATGAAAGAGTGGCTTTATTTAGATGTTATCGCCAACAGAGATAGCTGTGTAAAGTTAACGGTTTGGTTTTGAATTTTTGGTAACTGGGCAGTAAATCTTTGATTTTAAAAGTAAATTTTTATTTATCTGGACTAGTACATAAAATTGTTCTTTAATTTTAGAATTTTTTAAAGAGAAGTAATATGAAAGAGGAAATATTCATCAAGTTTGACAATTGTGCGTCTATGATTTTTCTGCTTTAGAATTCTGAAATAATGGTCAGAGGAACACTTTCTCCCATTTTCTTCAAAAAAAATCTTGTGTTACTTCTTCCATCTTACAATGTGTGTGTTTGTGTCTATGTGAATTTGTCCCAATGTATACCTAAAAACTATGATTACAACTGAGGGTTCGGTTACACCACTACTTAAAAATGTTTCCTCTGTTTTGTTACTTCTCTATCACTTTAATGAAAGCACTACTAATTATTGTCTATTAACAAAGTTGTTCCTCTTAAATTACAAGGAAATTTTGAATTACGCTATGCTAAGCGATATAACAAGCAAAACTTTATGGAACCAAACAAATAGGTTACAATTAAAAATAACTACGTTATTGAATTTGTTTACAATGCATAAATGTGATAATTTCAGTCCAAGTTTTACTGTCTATCACAAGGTAATCACTGCCAGTCCAGCTATCTCTATAGACAATCTAGCATGTTGTGTTAGTTTGGATAGAACATGTAGGTGATGGCTGGGTTTCTTAAACATTTAGTGTCCAGTTTTGATTCTAAGCTAAGGCTGTCCACTTAAAACACTCGATTTTGGAAAAAAACAACATAACAAAACAAGGGGAGCAACCACTTGTACAAAAATTTTATTGTCACAAACGTTCATGCCTTGACAGAATTTGAAATTCTCACCAAGAATTCTCATTTGAATTTCATCTGCAGACTTTACAAGCAATGATCAAACATTTTACTTATACATTGGAAATTTCGATTTAAATTGAAACCTAGTTCTCTCCAATCAAATAGTGACTTGAGTTAAACTCTATCCTAATGATCAAACAGCAAAAACATAGCTAAGTTTGGTAACCACTAACCATCAACATTATTTAAGATACCTCACTTCACTTGGTGGAGTTTTAAGACTTTTCCTAGATGCCTAAAGAAATTTTGGAAACTGCATTAGACTTAACTGTTTTCTAGAGGTGAGATTCTGGGATCAACGCAAGACGTATCTAAGCGAAAGCATTTGCCAAGCATGTCCTAAAAATCAATATTGGCTTGGCTTAAGTTGTCTTCTTTATGCTTGATTGTATACGGAACTACCAAATATAACCTATGCCTAAAAAATTGTAGAAATTGTATATTTCCTAGTGGTTTTAAAGGTTCTCTTGCGTGTCTCAGGGTTTTAAAAATATTTCAAGAACTTAAAACTTAATGTTTTCCAAATTTGCATACAATACTAATGTTCGAGGAACCCAGCCTAACTTAGCTTGGTGCTAAAGTTAAACTGACCGGGATGATACCATGCACTCCGTATTGACTTGTTTTTACCACGGAATAAGACTGAATCTTTACCTAATTTAACCCATTCCCAATTATTTCAGTAGAATAGATTTTTCACTTCTGCTCAATCCGTATTACATAGATTATTAGGAACATAAAAAATGTGTAAGTTTATTTTAAAGTCAAATTGAGATTGTTAAGTCTTATGTTTATTTTGAATCTTTTTTGTATTCTTTATATTTTTTAGTTTCTTCGAGTATTTATTTTTACAACTGGTTCCACTCTGTAAAAATCTGAGTTTCTCTTGAGGAAATTTGTTATTGCTCAAATACGTATTTACAATCACATTAGGTTTTTTATTCAAATACTAGTTTTGTCTAAAACCATTGACCAAGCATCCATAAGTGTGAAAGTGAAATAGACATCATTCTGGTAAGTCACTATTAAATATAGGGTTTTGGTAAAATGTATCAATTGAGGATCCAAAGTCAATGGTAAACTCACAAGAAATAATATTTCTCATTTTATTAAAACCATAAAATTTATTAAAGTGGAAATTAAATGTACATATTGTAAACCTTTGTTTTTTTTACACCTCCTCAAGAATGAAATAACATATAATTCCCATCAACTGTAAATATCCTTCATCGATCCAGTCTTTACAATAGACCATATAAATTAAGATTTAGTGGCCTAAGACTGAGTTTAATGTATAGAGACTTTTTGAGGACCTGGATTTGTAAAGTATTTGTTGCACTACTGGAGTACTTACAAGTCGCTTCATGAACAAAACCAGTGAATGTAAATTAACCTTGATCATAAATGAGTGTCCATTCCGAGGGAATTTATTGTATTTGAAAATTGTGTGTGAAATATATTAAAATCTAAACCCCAAACATTTATGACGTCTTATTGTTGATGGGAATTATATATAATTCAAACCAGTTTCCCAATATTTTAAAATGTTATTGTTGGATTTAATCAATTGCATAAACAGAATGTTGAAAATTAAATAACTGTGTATGGTTTTCACTCTCTATTGTACTATATTAATTCATTTGAATAAAAATGTTCACCAGCAAAGTTTGTCTAGTACTTAATTTACCTAACCCTACCTATTTCTTAGCTTTTGCAGCAGTATCATCAATATCTTTCCGACCGCATTGTTGGCTTAAATTCACAGTTAACATTTCACCCTTGTTGTGAAGTGGCATTTTTGACTAAATTTTTGTTGAGCTAAACATAGATTAATCACATTAAGCCAAAGGTGCTGCACAATAAGCTGTTCCAGCTGTGAAGCAATCCCATGGTCTACTTATTATCCTGGACCTCTGTTATAAAAATACCCCCGCCACAGCTAACCTGCAGATTAAGCAAATTTCCATTTACCAGAACAGTATTGGATTTTCATTAAAATCTATTTAAATTACATTAGGTTAAATAAGTGCCCATGTTTGCTGCTACAGGGACAGTAATTAAGTGTGTTTTTTAGTAAAATACGAATATTTTGGTATACAATAATTGATAAATAAATTACTGTTTGATCAAAATATATACAGGGTGTCCCATAACTCTCTGGAGATATGTAGTATGTATATAGCGTTATTGCTTAGGTCAAGACAAACACATTTCACCATAGGAACATCTGTCTGCGGTGGCTAGTTTTCCGTCTGTCTGTATTTATGTGTTTTTTACAAAAAAATTAATAACTCCTAAACGGTTTGAGATACAGCGTTGAGATTTTGATTTTGCATAAATGTTTATCTTGTTAAGACCTATATTTGTTTAAAATTATACTAAAAAATCATTTACCGTCTTAAAATGGCAGCCGTTTTAAATATTTGATGCCAAATTTCATGAAAACCGTTAACGAAAAAATTGCAGAAGACAAAAAAGTTAGTAAATTTTATGTAGTTTTCAATGATACCTCATTTGTTAGGGATGGACAAATAATAACAGAGAAATGTTTTCTTTTCTAAATGCATGACCACTCTTCTCCATTTAAACAATGCTAATACACCTTTTACGTTGTTTAGCATTCCTAGATATGTGGACAATCTTTGTGTTGAATTTTTGCTGTATCAGTTTAGTATTTTAGTCGTGAGAGCTACAGACAGACACCACCTCTATTTTATAATAGTATGGATAGATATATAATGTATTGTAAACTTAATTTATTCATTATTTATTGGTGAAACCCTTCCCTTAACTTTACAATCAAACAACAGCATTAGGAGACATGCGGATCTTTGTACTGTACAGAGAAATATTTGCACATAAGTGGGTGAGTGCAACCGATAATTTTGAGTAAAGGTTTGACTTAGGGGTGAGTATTTTAAATACTCCAGTGGAAGAAGTTTACAGATAATATTTGCTACAACATTAAATAAGTTAGTTAAGATGAACAAAAATCACGTTTACTTGTCCATCCATACAATATTGTGAGGTTTCCTATATAAACACGGAAGACGGTAGACTAAGTACAAGAAAAGAATCAGGCATCACTGTTTATAAACATAACACAAAAACGAATGGATATACTGTAGTTGAGAAATAATATAAAAGTACGGTATTATATTTTTAAGAGTAACCGGTCAAGGACTAGAAATTACAACAAATGATTTAAAATTACATTGAATATGATTAGCCAAATTGTACATTGTCTGTTAGTGTAGGCATTGGGTTCTAGAATCTATGCAACACAAATTGAAATCATCCTACCATAAAGTACCCATTTCATCGTTTTGGGAAGCTATATTTTGATATTGTAAAGCAATTATGTGTGTCACTACGCTACACAAAAACTCAATTTGAAAACGCTTGAAGCTCGGAGGTTTTTTTTTTAACTTAACAACTTAACTCATAAATTCAGTACTTGCACACTCCTGGATTGGACATAAGATAATGATGATGAAACCGACCTTGATGAAACTCAGATCATAAGAATTTCAGTGATCGATTGCGATTTATGAGTCTTAACGTCGGTTTAATTTGCTCAAACACATTATTCAGGTTAAGTATCATGGATTAAAGACCTAGATAAGTTTTTAAATTAAACTTTTTGTAGGAGTTTCAACTCAAAGATTGACACAGTCCATAACATCAGCAGGCATACGTAGCATTGTACAGGTTCGTCTAGAGTTTTGAATAAATACAAACTAAAGTTACTCAAATAATATTTATTAAATCAGTCGTATATCTTATCGTCCAATTCTCATAATACTATAATTTTCAACAAACATACTCGAGAATTAATACAAAACATCTCAAACTACAACCTCAAATTTAATTTATCCAAGCAACAAATTTATTTATTTTTCTTATATTTTTCAGTAAAAAACACTCTAACTACAATGGTGAAAACACCTTACAAGAAAACGATAGTTTTCCCATGTAATGTTTGCATGAGGGAATTAATTCTATAAACATATAAATAAATAATACACATTATAGTGATGATACAAATTTTGAAGTTATAACATATTTCCATAGCCGAATTATCTTTTTGAATGGTTTATGCTTAGAAATAGTTTTTAAATAAATATGAAGCCAGATATTACAAAAACAAACGCAATGAAACATTTTAGAATTACTGGTGCTGCAATGAAGAACCTCTTCTGACATTATACTTGAGAAATGCCGACTTCTTCAGTTTTAACTACTGGAACAGGATTTTCACATTCATTATTTCTTTTTCTTCTTATTTGCTTCCTGAAAACATCAAAGGATAAATTACCTAGCTGTAAAACAATACACACCCTGTTAAGAGCATTATTACAGCAGAGGGACAGCTTAAAAACAGCTAATACTCTAAACACAGTAGATTCCAAGTACCGTGATGTAGGACCGATAGATATAGCAACCGTGGTGATATAGGAAGATAGGACCGTGATATTTGTCGGATTAGTAAAAATGTTGCATTACTGGAATGCCATCAATGAAAGCACTTTCTTAAAATGCACGAAAAACGTCTACGAAGTTCGTGCGATCAGAAACCGCTATTGCCGCGATCCCGGAAGACGACGAAGACGTTTCCGTGACCGCGGGAGTCGATGATGATGTCTACACGACCGCGGGAGATGAAATTGAAGATACTTGAGAAGAAGAAGGGACTTAAAGGTGTATTAATTTATCATAATTAATAAAGGGGATTAAATTATTGTTCCATTAAGCAAAATACACTTTAATTATTGTTCAAGGATTTTAAATTTGTTGTTTATTATGAGGTATTTAGCCACGAGAAATCGATCGGTGTTGGTCTCAAGGTTAGGAAAAATCCAGTTTCCGCCATACAGCACTTGAAAGTGTCCATGTTATTGTCAATTAATAAACAGCTGATACAGGTTATTTTTACTGCCATCTAATCTATGTGTTCACATTGATTACCCTACTTACTTTAATAATGTTAATTAACTTATATATAATACATTTAATGGTTAGTTAAATCCAAGCAAAGCTTAGTTCTAAATACATTGGCAGACTGTGTAGGTCTATCAAAATATTTGACAAAAACAACAGTGTTAAAGACAGGACTTCTATCCTGCTGATCAGATTGAAATTGCCAATCCTGCGTAGATGACATGTTTTAGCCATGTGATAGTACGAACAACTGGTTTAGAGCCATAATACTTATAGGAAGGCTAGGCAAAGAGAACTTTCTCTGCACTGCGGAATTATTTTTACAAAAAGCTTTACTGACATAACATCAGAAAAAAGTTGACCAAGAACAAATCAATGAGCACCTCCATCAATCGACTACAATAATCCTGGGACAAAAGGATTAATTACCTTTACTTTTTTCCCACTGTCCGTCGACTTCGGACTGTTTTTAGCTGGCGACTTGGGAGTATCAGATTGAGTATTTGGTTCAGATGAAGAACTTTCTATATGAGCATCCCCGTTGACAACAGGAGTTGAGTTCTCCACTATGACCGAAGGCTGGGTTGATGTTTCCTTCACTTCAGTGCCACTAACACTTTCCTGCACTGTTTCAGTATTGACCGCAGTCGGAATTGAGTTTTCAGGCGCACCAGGGGTTATAGAGAGATTCTCCAGTCGCGGACAAGCTCCGTTGTTAACATCCGGGCTGTTGTCCACAATCTGATTTGTATCACCCACAACATCAGGTAAGGGATTAGGCATTGTTGTCGGTGAAGTTACACATGTATTATTGACGGCATTGTTAGAGGCATTGTTGGTTGCTGCATTAGTTTCAGCAGCCATTGCTGCATTAATTTCTGCCGCAACACTCTCTTTGAACGAGTCCAGGATGTCTTTTGTGTAACTGTCTAGAACCGGATTGCTGTTGTTTTCCATGACGTGATTCATGTCTTGGTTTAAGGCTTCACACTTTTTGGTGCACTTCTCCACTGAGCTAACCAGTTTCTCAGGAGGTTCGGGTCCGCCAGCTGAAACCAAAGTTTGTTAAATTAATCACAGAATAGAAAGAGGCAAAAAATTGTAGGTACTGTATTGGGGTTATCCTAGGTGTTATTTTTGTAGAAAAATAAAATATAAGTAAATACAATTTTTGAGGAAGATCATAGTGAATGTAGCCTATTAACTTTTAAAGATAAACACTTTCTCTAATTGTACATACAAGAACAAGGTTGGTAAATGGCTACATAAATTTCCCTCCTTTAGATTTTTTGTGTGAAAGGCAGTTGTTATTTATCTAGCATACTCTAAAAAAGAAAAAGTTAGAGCACAGACGTTACACAATAAAATAAAAGTTAGGCGTGATAGGTTTTAATTATCTTTTCTGAAGAGGTCCTATTCCTATATTGTGATATGTAAATGACAGTATTAAATCAAAATGGGACATTATACTATGCGTAAATAAACCCCTGAACTCTAATACTCAGGTAAGCTAGCTGAACTCCATTTTATTTAAAGGTCCATGAGCAATTCTTACATTGGTTTATCTTTTAAAACAGATAAGTAAAATTAAAGAATAATATACTAATTATAGACATTAATGGAGAAACTCTAAGCTTGAAGGGGGCCTACATCCTCTTCCATACAAAAATCATATTTTTTTTTAAAGGACTAGGGTAAGGGTACCTTACCAAGCAATTTGTAGGTATACATACACACATTTAATTTTAAATCAATAATGCGCTTTACAGAACCCCAAGCTACCACTATACCTAAACCTATAGTTAACCTCACTTATGTGCTCAAACTCTCATTGGAAAACCACTACACAGTCCAGAATAAATATTTCATGGTTCAGATAATTTATCCAACGGTAAACAATTTAAACATTCATAATCAGTTATGAAAATTGTCGAGACATGATGAAGTTTAATGGGTCTTTAGGAACAACAGGGCCAATCTGAATAATGGGAGTCTTTTCTAGAAGATTGGAGATAAGCTTGAGAATTAGAAATAGACAATCTGAATTAACTTGTTGACTACAAACAAATTCATACCAACCTTGGAAGGCCTTCAGTTTGGCCAGCATGGTGGTCCGTTCCGTCTGCAGTGTACGACACAGCCCCTGCAGTGTTACCAGCTGTCGTGACACAACAGCCAACTCCTGTTCAGACTTCTGCTTGTCCGCAGCCATCTCTAGCAGGGCATTGTGGCTCCTCTCCCAGCGCTGCTTCCACGACGACGTTTCCTTCTCCAGCTTACAGATCTTCTTGGACATCTGTGCAGGGAAATAGAGTGGAATTCACTAATAAAAAACTCATCTGTGCATAGTTAAAATTCTTTGATTTTTGAAGTTCAATCAAATACCACCCTTTGACTATTGATAAAAGTAGACGTTCCATTTCAATCTTAAAAGCTTTAGTCAGTTTTTTTAAGAATAAAAATGAATGTAGGCCTAGTTGAATTGAGCCAACGATAGAGTGCACTGATCTTAATTACCCATTTCAGTTGAATAAGCAAACTTTTTAATCCAGCCAAACTGAAAGGAATGCAAATCTACTTCTTTTACATCACATGAAACTATCAAAATATAGAACAAATTGAGGGATAAAAAATAACATTTTAATAGAAACACAGGCTTATTAGTCTATTTGAATAAAAAAAATTCACAGCTGATCCAAATAGATGAGGTGTATACTTCAGGATAAAGAAGTCAATAAATGGTTCAATGGAACCTTGCTCATCCATCATTGAGATCACATGGTTGAATTTGGTCATTAGGCCTGCTTTGAAAAACTGTTGAATCACTTTTAAAATGGTGTGGGTCCACATATCTTTGTTTTTTAACCGACTTCCCCACTACCAACAAAAGGAGGAGGTTCTCAATTTGTTTGTGGCGATGTTTTTTTTTCTATGTATGTTCACCAATTTCTCTGTGATTCTTTTACCGATCAGTGTGGTTCCACCACCAAAATAACCAGGAGAGTTTCTATTTGGTACCTTATATATTATGTTTAAGTATAATATTTGTTTTAGTGAAAAATTCGGAAAACCTTAAATATTCAACATTTATTTTGTTTACATTTGTGCAGATTGTTTACATTTGTGCAGAGAAGGCAATAAATAATAATAACATTCCTACAGCTGTTAGTTGAAACCATTTAAATGATGCTACAGACAATTCTTCATGAAACAGTTGCTTCATATTGATCAATAAACTATTTCTTGCCATGGAGCCTATATGAATTACATTGAGAAAAATGAATTTTGTTTTGGTTACTATAAAAAATGTATTTTAACGTTTGACCTGATTTGTGTATACAGTAATTCTGTTTTTATTAGTATTGAATATTCTGACTTACAAAAACATGTATTTTTCAGTGAATAGCTGTATGATATTGACAAATAAAGGTGTATTGTGAAAACCAAAGCATTCGTAAAACAGGTCTAAATATAAATTAAATGAAATTATTCCTTAAACGACCTAAGAAGTGTGACAGTGCATAATCGTCAATTGTCTTAAAAGTGTTAAATATTTTAATTACTAAACATGCATTTGCAGATATGGAATGCTTATTGATATTCTCTACCCAGTTACTATATCATATCAATACTATTATGCCTGCTTCGGAAAGTCCTAGAGGAAGATGATTTGCAATTTCGACTAGGCTATATCTTGATCAAACAAAACTACATGGCTTGCACCACTTTTAGCTGAACCAATCTTTCATATACATATTTCATTTGCAGATGTGGAATGTTTATTAATATTCTCTACCCAGTTACTATAACATATCAATACTATTATAATTTTCCACTTTTGAGAGATTTTAGTGCTGGTGGCTGAGGAATAACTTTCATATTGTTCCAAAAGGCTTGAGACGTTACTGTATTTCTTTTTATAATGTGGAAGTACTGTACACCGATTGCAGGAAACGATGATGTCTGACATTTCAATGTATCTAGAAAAGACAATTAGTTTTTCATTAGGCCTAATGTAATGGACAACTCTTTCTTTCTTAAGGAATATCTAAAAATGTTTATTTTCATACCCATTGATTATGTAACCTGAACAGGTGACTCAAGCAGTTTTAAAATAATGATTGTTCTGTGGAACTTTTGATTGTTTCAAACAGTTTTGCTTATCAAAAAACCTCAAGTAATTAATACATAAAAAATTATACAGTCACTAAAAATCATGAAATAATTTATTTTTGTAAAAAAATACAACCGACTTCAAACACTCTAAAAAGAATGAAATAATTTCAATAAAGTAGACTTTTGTATTAGGCAAGCTCACGTATTTCAAGTCGGCGCGGCTCAAACTGCAAATATGATTGAAATTAAATATTGTGTGTGTATTTTGAAAATCAATAAATTGTAGCTGGATAACATAAATATATAAAAAAACATACTGAACTGTTTTGTTTATATATTAAAAGAAATATTTTCTTGTATTTTATGTTTACTTCAGAATAAATGCATTATGAAAATAGCACACACAAATGTTCTATATGAATAGGAAAATAATTTAGTTTGATATTATGACAGGGAAAAGAAGCTAGTTTAGTATTAAAACATTACTTTTCCAAGTTAGAAACATTTAAATGCGTTATAATCTTTTTAAAGATACTCGTTAATACCACTATAATGCCGATCTCTGATTACGGTAATAAAATAACACTTAACGCATAACTATGAAAAAGACATGCAGATTAACACCTTTAGTTATAGATAGTCACCTGCAATATGGACACCCTCTTTCAATTTTGTATCAAAAATCATCATAGAGCCGCGCCGACTTAAAATACGTGAGCTTGCCTAATACAAAAGTATACTTTATTGAAATTATTTCATTCTTTTTAGAGTGTTTGAAGTCGGTTGTATTTTTTTACAAAAATAAATTATTATCTTGCCTTGTCTAGTTTTTTGGTACCCTATGTTGGATGGATAAACAATATTTCAAAAATAGAAGCTCAGTAAAAACCAGCTTTGCTGGGGTCACCTCATCCACATAGTTGTTCCATAATTCAAAATGTATTACATCTTGCTATGAATCCAGACACTTAAAAGTTAAAACATACATAATAAAAAGTATACGGTATACAAACCTTTTCCATTTCTCCTTTGAACCCTCCAAAAACATCATTGCTTCTGGCCAACGCCTTCTGGAATTCATCGTATTTGTCGTTATACATTGAGATCTGGTTGCGGAGATTGACTTCTGTGGCTTGGAACTCAGTACACCGTTGTTGATATTGTTGGATCTCCTGTAAGGGATAAAAACAAATTTTCTCATATTCGTTAAAGATTGACAAAATAATGGCTAGTACAGTTAAGGGGATGTGCCTCCATCTATAGGCCATTTTATAAAATATTTTGACTTTTTTCAAAAGTGACAAATTTTTATTCCTTAATTATTACTGAACATGTATGCAAAGTTTTATTTGATTTGGAGAATTTTTTCAGTGATTTTTATAATAAAATTGAAGACGTTGCGCCTAGCAACAATAAGTAGAAAGAAAACTTTAAACGGCGTTTTCTCAAAACTACGTTTTTTCATTTACTACATTTACGTAAGTTTGAATAACTTTAAAACTACTTATTATTTTTCAATGAAATTTTAACCAGACGTTCTTAATAGTATTTAGAAGGTTTGTGTGTATAGAGAACATCCTGCAATAATTTATTCCTATAAAATTTTATGTTTTACATTAAAAATCTGATCTTTTCGTGTAACATTTTTCATATTATTGTAAAAAGGTCTACTAAAGCTGTATTTGTTGAGTTACCATAGTTTCAATACACATAAATGTTCATTGTTATGTGGGAAAGTAAAATATGTTTACTTTTTTACATTATGTTGATAAACAAAAAAGTTATTCAAAACTGAAATTTTTTAAAAAAATTCTTAAAATTTTGAAATTTACCCCAAAGTGACCAAAAATTGATTTGGATAAAATTTTTTCTATATATAAATCCTCTAATTTGGCTAAATAGAAACAGAATAAACCCACAAAAGCCATTTAAAATAAATAATTCTAAAAAAGTCTTAGAAGGAGGCATATCCCCTTAAACTTTTTAGGCTAGGTACATAAATTTCACCCAAAACTAACTAGTAAAACCTAGTAAAGGATTTAGCATATTCTTTATAGATATTGTATAGACTCTCTCTTATTTGGTTCATACAGCCCAAGATGTATGGAGTAAAAGAGGTGGGCCAGACAGAGTGTACTGCGCGCGATGACGTCACTGCAGTCCCGGCCGCGGCCACCTTGCCACTAGATACATGCTAAACGCACAAACCTTACTTTTTAAGGCACAATTTAAGCTGATTTGGAGGAGGTATTTCACGTTATGACACAAAATATCTTTGTCTACTAAATAATTATTTTTGTGATTTTGAATTAACATTAACTAGCTGTTAGCCCGTCCTACGTACGGGAATCAAGTAAGTTAGTCAATTAAAACTGAATACAATTCATAACTGCTAGTTTGCTTTAAACTAGCAGTCTACATAATCCCTACTAATCTTACTTATTTCCTATAATCAATGACTATAGTTATTTTTGCAACTAGTTAGAAAAGTGAGCAATTGACTCACTCGAGAGAAATCCTTACTCACGAGCCGTAGGCGAGTAAGGAATGGTTTCTCGAGTGAGGCAATTGTACTTTGAACTCGAGTTGCACATTATACTTATCCTACAGTTACCATAAAACAAATAAATTGGTGAAGAAACATAACCTATTTTTACACAGAAGTGAACTTTTAATTTAACATTTAATGTGAAGTGACAAATACAACAGTACAACAGCTGACCAGCTGATTTACAGCCAGTGCTGCCAACGTATTTCGTGCGCATACGACGTTGCCTGCATGTTACGCGCTCACTATTTCGTGCCTTCACGTTGCAAATCTGGAGTGAGACAAAGTAATTAGAGTGAGACAATGTTAACATTGTCTCACTGATGAGCGAATTGGCCACTTTGCTTTCTCAAATCAGTGAGAGAACATGTACATTGTTAGGTAACTGTAGGAAAAATTAAATAACCTCCTAGTTCCATAGAATATTTTTATATCTATCCAGCTGTTATAGCTCAAACAAATTGTATTGCACTAAAACAAACCCAAGAGTTTATAGACTGCTCTAAAAAATAAATTGGATTTTCAAGTATTTACAATGGATATTAAAATAATCTGTCATCCCCTTATCAAATAAATGAATGTATCAATTATTAAAGCATTACACATAGTATAAATAAGTCAATCCTAGGTATGTCATTTCATTTCTATCCAATTTCCAAATGCTGAATTTGTGTCACAAACTCTGAATGTTTACAGCTGTTACGTTAAGCACATGGTTTTATAAAAAAGCCAATCTAGAATGTTAGCTTCGGCTGCTAGACTTAAAAAAAATTTAAACTTAATTTCTAAAAAACTGAAACCCTAAACTAAAATTATGGCTTCGACATTCCCTAGTTCTCAAAATCATCTTTCTTTTAACGCAAAAACCATGAAAAACCATCAAGTGGTTGATTCAGAATCGTGAAATAAAAAAACCCTGTCACGTTTTAATATATAATATGATGATGATGATTAGTATCCTATTGACCTTTTTGAACATTTAAATTTAGTTACATTTCATTATTAATTGCCAATATCTCAAATAGTTAACATATGTTACTACAGTACTTAGCACATTGACTATGGTACCATAACATAGCTCGTATTTAGAGCATAGGATATTTGATGTAGAGGTATCTAGATTTGGTCTCTATAGTCAAAACAAATTCTTACTATGGAAGAACCTTTGACCTCCATAACTCTACTGAATCAACATTTTAACTTTATCTATTTGAAAAAGGATAAAGACATCAAAGAACAAACAAGTCAGAGTCTATTCTTGTATAAGATAAAATATTCACATAAACTAGATGAACGGCTATATATCAGGAATGCTGTCAGACCAATGTTATTCTTTGGTAAACTGCTAGTTGGAAATATGCTGCAAGTTTAGTTTTTAGTTTGTACGTTGAGTTTGAACCATTAGTTAAGATATGGATAGTCAATCAAGTGATTCTTGCTCCAATACTTCAGATCCGAGTATGAGTGCTTCTTCAGGGTGTTTTGCAAGTTCTTCAGATCCTAGTTTGAGTGCTTCTTCTTCAGGGCGTGACACAAGTTCTTCAGATCCCAGTTCGAGTGCTCCTTCTTCAGGGTGTGACACAAGTTCTTCAGATCCCAGTTTGAGTGCTTCTTCTTCAGGGTGTAATGCAAAAAGTTCTTCAGATCCCAGTTCAAGTGCTTCTTCTTCAGGGTGTGATGCAAAAAGTTCTTCAGATCCCAGTTCAAGTGCTTGTGATATTGTTGTTGAAGCAAGTTCTTTAGATTCTACTTCGAGTACTTCTGCTTCAGGTTCTGACACAAGTTCAACATTATCAGTTTCTTGTTCAAGCTCTAACCCAAGTGACATAGACTCACTAAGCAAATGTATTACGTGTGGTAATTACTTTGAGGAACTAAGCACTCTTTCTATGTCAGCAATGATACGATTTTTTCTGCCGGATGTTGACCCTTTTGAGTGCAGTGAATGTGAAAACATATGGATGAAACCAATGATAGAATGTATCAATGCCATGGACCTTGAAGATGATCGTCAAAAAGCATAGAGTAACTGCAAGTTTTTTCTTTATATTTTTTTCAAGTTAGGGTTCTCTTTGCAAATTTTATTCAAAATTCTTAATTAGTAGAAACATATTCATGATTAGCCTACCATTTATTCTGCACAGTTAGGCTTAAACCATTTCCGGAGTATGGATCATAAATATTTCACTCTCGACATATAAATTATGTTGATTATCAGGCTGTTATCAATCAACTCTAGCTTGTTGCTGATCTTGAACGCCATCAGTAAATATAGAGGTTAACTGATTTTAGAATAGTGATTGAATGTAAACCGACTATTGGTAGGATACAAAAGTGAAATGTAATATCATCACAGAATAAACATGAAGTTAATCTTGTTCTTTATTCTCAAATAACACCTAATAATTTCCAACTAGTGTCCCTGTTGCTCGAATTCGAGCAATTGCTGGCAATATTACAGGCGTTATTTTCAAACGAATTTCAACCAAGTCAGCAAATGTATGTGTAAAATTAGCAAACTTATTAACTGTTTATAATTAAATTAACATGCTCTTCTTCTCACTTTTGATTTCTGACAACAGCTGGAGTTTCATAACAATTTTGGTTTCCAATGTTAATCTTATGGAGAAATTCAAAACTTTAAAGGGCTTCAGGGCCTCACTCTCTCAGTATTTCCCTAAAAAGAAAGTTTCCTGCACAGCTTCACGTTACTCTCTTTCCAATGACACCAAAAACATGACAATCGGTTCAGTAGTTTCGGAGGAGTAATTGTCACAAAAAATCTGCTTGCATATTAAATAAGTAAAAATATAGATTTGTAACGTTCAGTCAAGTATCACCCAATGTTCCAATACTTTTTAAATTATTCTTACTATTAAAATTACTATTTATTATATCTTACTATTACTCTTACCCTTTAAATTATTTATATAATGTAAAAATTGAACAGTTTAATGTCCTGAGCCTACATGAAAAATTTGTATTAAGGTAAAACGTTGTGGAAACTGATTTGATAATTTTTTTTCTTTATATAAGACTAGCTGTGTGCCCGTTCTACGGACGGGGATCTTGTAGTCAGTTGAAACTTTCTTATTCAGAACGAGTGCTTAGGTTTGCTGCTACGGGGAAGGTAAAAAGTGTTTTTTGACCATACGCCAACAGTATAGGATGAAATAAATAAATTTGGCAAATTTTATCAATACATATCCATAAACAAGTAAAGTACAACAATTTTCATTATCTTCATAAGAATACCATAGGAATTTTAAATTACACTATTTTTTAATTTCTCCCTGACCGTTAGGCAAACAACAGCGCTTCAATATACTAAATTATTTCTTTTTTTTTTACTCTACAAATTGGTTTAAAAAGAAATTGCAAAATTCTTTGTTTTTAGGGTCAAAAATGGGGAAACCCCATTTTTACCCCATAAAACCCCGTTCCCATGGTCCGATTATGCTGGATCACAAACTCGTTCGAATAAACGTAGGTTTACACGTTTGAACCAAATTTCATCAAAATCGGATCATTTTTGCTCAAGTTATCGCGCTAACCGACACACATATATTATATATATAAATGAATTTGAAGGGATGGTGTTTTTGGCCTCTAGGGACCTCAAAA